ATTTTCCATAAGAGTAGTAAGTCAATTTATGCATAATCTAAGAGAGAAACACTTGCAGGCTGTCAACAGAACTTTGTCCCATCTTTAAGGGACATTGAGTAGAGGAATTTTGTTCTAGGACAAAGAACGATTTCTAAAATAGGCGTATACCGATGCTGATTATGCAGGTTCTATTGTAGATCACAGATCAACTTCAGGATATTATACATTTCTTGGTGGAACCTAGTGACATGGCGTAAGATGCAATTGGTTGTTGCAAAATCAAGTACTAAAGCTCTAGTTTAGTGGTATGGCTCATGGAGTTTGCGTATTGCTATGGCTCAAAATAATATTTGATGACCACAAAATCAAGTCGGAAAGACCTATGGAACACTATTGTGACAAGTTTGTCATCAGCATTGCACACAATCCAGTGTAATATGGTCGCACAAAACGCATCAAAATAGATGGACACTTTATTAAAGAAAAGCTGGACAGTAGCATGATTTGCACTCCATATATAGCATCAAATAATCAATTTCCGTATGTCTTAACTAAGGGAATGCCTACTTCCAACTTTGAAGACATTAAATGCAAGACGGGAACGGGAAATATCTATTCACCATCTTGAGGGGGTGTTGAAAATCTAGAATATCTTTTCTGTACAGTTATAAATTCTATGTATACCTCCATGATTTCTGCTATATATTAGGTTGGATAATTAACTCCTAATGTATTTTATGATGAAATAAATTAGCTACTGATTTTTTGGGAGATAACAGATTTCATGGAATCGACAAAATTCAACTTCTATTTGTATAAAACTACAAATATTGTTCAGCCTGATGCTAGAAAGGGATAACAGAGCAATTCAGTTCTCATTTTTTAACCTTCAATTTTAAGCCTAAGTATTACACCAGGCACTTTTGCTTAGTTTGGACCTTTGTGGACACTGGATGCTGACAACCAGACATCCACATTATATAAGTTGACGAAACAGTTGGTACTTCAATTGTAGAATCAAAACTGAAATATATATTGATGAAACACATTATTTGGTACTTCATATATGGGATAATTGTAGCTCAGCCAACATTATGAATATCTCAATCAATCGGGAATGGACTACAGGGACAGACAAAAACTGGGAAGGGGTAAAACTCTGTACCTCATAGCCACAGTAGACATGAGTTGGCTTTGGCATTGAACCCAATGTTACACAGAGTGATTGATACATCTGTTCGGCAGTGCCTTCAAAAAACTTCCCGGAGCCAGCAATGAACTATACAATGAGAAATGCCAACTTATTTCTAGACCCATCAAAATGAAAGAAGCAAACAAGAGATAAGATAAAAGATCCACCTCCTAACCATGAAAAATTCTTTTGATACAAGTAGAACTTAAACAAAACCAAAGCAACTTTCCAGAATAATAATTAAGGCAAAGATGGAATTAGTATCATTTATTGAAGAACTCTGTGACTTAAAAACTTAAGCCAGCGGGTAAGGAAACAGAATGGCTTGTTTTGGACTTGAATCAGCTTCAATCAGATCAACTAGAAAGTAACAAGTAACTGCAAATAAATATATGAATAATATGCGTGTGAGAGAGTGACTGTGTGTATTTATGAATGCATATAAAGCAAAAAAGAAGGATACAGATTCGCACTTACAAGGGTATCTCCAGTAAAAACAGCAGGGCCTCACCGACATTGCCTGTGATATAGTAACTAATATGACCCTTGGTGTGCTGATGAAAGGAAGAGATGGCCAGAAGAGAAAAGAGGGATTCTATAAAAATTGAAAATAGAAACAAAGAGAAGCAACCGTTATAGGCAGTGGCAAAAACAAGCAAGCGCATGTAAAAATAATAACAAACAAAGAGGGTTAGCAACAGAGGAGAAGAGAAGAGTAAATAATACCAAGGCGTGTGTGGAGCCAAAATTTTAAGACGAGAACCAAGAGATAAGGTATCGCCGTTTTGGAGCTGATGAGTGCAACCCCTAACGTTATCAAGGGAACCGCCATATACCTTAATCCCAGGCACCAAGTGCTTTATCTTATCATTCCCACCAGCGTGATCCCTGCAGATTGGATTGAAAAGCAAAGCAAAGCAAACAAAGATATTCCAACCTGAATTCTTCTAGTTCTAGGCTAAATATTTATATAGATATTAGCAGATGTCTTGAAATTTTCAGAACCTAGAAACTCAAGATGAAAAGCATAGTGATTACCAGTGGTGATGAGTGGTCAGAACCGACTTGAGCACAACTCCATGCTGATTTGCCGCTTCAACCACCTTCTCCGCCTCCACAGGATCCACCACCGCCGCCTCTTTTGTGCTTTCATCTATGACCCTTTTTTAAATTAAAAAAAATGAAGTCAAAAAGTTCATCAATCAAAAACAAAAACAGAAAATTAAAAGAAAAAAAAACTCACAGATACAAGTAGTTGTCTTCTAAGCAAGGAATCTCATCATATTTTCCTTTGAAGTTAAACGTAAGGAGATCTCGGAATGAAAAAACTAATAAGCAAATGAATTGGAACTTCCAAAAAGATGAATACAAACTGTAATTTCAGGATTAATTGATTGAATTTTGTTAATGGCTTTATTCGTTTTGGCCTCAAACCTCTACCCGTGGCCGTACATGACATTATTTATCCATCTTGAAATTTCCTTAAAATAAAAAGGTAAAATAACCTTTTTAGTACATTCTTTATCAGTTTAGTCATATAATTTAATTCCTTCCTCTCGAAAGGTCCTTCAAACATTGCTTAAAATAATAATAATAAAGTCCTTAAAATTTACTGATTGAGAGTTATTTTAAATAATATTATTTTATTAAAAAAATATTCAAACTAACCAATTTAGCATAAAATCTTTCAAATATTTTGGTGTAATTTATCTAAAAATAATTAATTTATCTTTTATTTTGAACAGTATGATCTAATCACTTAAATTATTTGATGATTCTAATTTATCTTTATTTAAATGTTGATGTCAATTCTTTTTATATTTTTCAAATTTTAATATTTTTTAATCTTTGGCGATATGATAAAAAAATAAAAATTAATATTTCAATAAGGACAAAGCATCATTAGAGATGTGCATATAATTGATTCGAGTTTTATATTAATAATCAAATAAAGTTAAACCTACTCTAAATTTAAAATTGGAACAATTAGATTAAATTTTTCCTAATCAAACAAAATAATTAAATAAACTTATTTCTATTATGTATATTTAGTACTTAAATTATTATTTTCATTCCGCTTGGTATTTAAATTTTATTTTTTTCAAATTAAATCTAATGTTTAGTTTAGATTTTATTTTGATGCCTCGTCGATAAAAACTTAATTGAATTGTTAGATGTGACAATTTAATGGGTAAATTATATCATTAATCACTTGAATATCTTCTCACTCCTATTTAGGCCATTAATTTTTAATAATTTTCAATTTAACTACTCAACTTTTAAATTGTTCATGTTTTAATCACTCTAATTTATTTTATTAATAACTTTTGTGACATGATATTTTTATTATTATTTTATTAATATATAATTAAAATAAAAAATTAAATATGAAAGTCAGTGTGATTAAATTAGGAGTAACTTGAAAGTTAAGTAATCAAATTTTTAAAAAATAAACTTTAATGACCAAAATATGAACTAGAAGATAGTTGAGTGATGAATTATGTAATTTACCATAAAAATGTCATATACAATAATTCCATTATTTTTTTAACAATAGGTATTTAAAAGATACAAAAAAAATAAATTTTAGGTATGATTTTAAGAAAATGAACAAAAATAATAATTTAAGTACTAAACGTATAATTTATCTCTAAAATAAATATATATAATTAATTAAAAAATCACATTGAATTATTTTATATTTTAGTATCTAATTTAATATTATGAATAAATATAATTAATTTATTCTATTTAGATATTCAATTAAATTACATCAATTTAATCAAATAAAAAAATTGAAATTGTTGTGATATTGATATAATGGGATCGATAGTAAAACATATTTAGGGTTTGGGCTATTTGCTTGGGTTAATGGGCTAAGCCTGAAGCTTCTTGAAGTTGAAATGAATGAATAAAGACAGCTAGGGTTTTTTCGCTTCATTCGCAGTTCTCTTATTCTCAAGACAAGACGCCATGGGGAGAAGTAAGTTTGTATCTTTCGTTCCCTTACTCGCTTTCCAATTGCCATTACAATCGTTCTTCAACTCTTTTCTGCTCCAATTTTAATTATTCTAATGTTTGTTTATGTTTATTAATAACTTTGAATGCTGTTTTTGTTCCTTTCGTTTTTCATGCTTCGTTTCCTACAAATGAGTCCTTAAATTAGCAGGATCCATTGGTTGTATGCTAAATACCCAGAAAATGCACTTTCTATTTACATTTGCAGAACCCCTTGTCAAATGTTTTTCAAACAATCTCAGGAATGCCCTTTTTTCAAGGGTGAAAACCCTAACTAATGTTAAGGTTTGTAGAAACTTATTTTGCGAACAGATGTTTCTATAAGGCATTACATGAGAAGATTGTAGTATTCTGTTGACTTTGAGTGCCATACTTTTGCCGGTTTTTCTGAACTTCTTCCATGTAGGACCCGCAAGGTGTTATCGCCAGATCAAGAACAAGCCATATCCAAAATCTCGATACTGCCGTGGTGTCCCAGATCCTAAGATCAGAATTTATGATGTTGGGATGAAGAAGAAAGGTGTTGATGAGTTCCCTTTCTGTGTCCATCTTGTTAGTTGGGAGAAGGAGAATGTCTCCAGTGAGGCATTGGAGGCTGCTCGAATTGCCTGCAACAAGTACATGGCCAAATTTTCTGGGAAGGATGCTTTCCACTTGAGGGTGAGGGTTCATCCCTTCCATGTTCTGCGGATCAATAAGATGCTTTCATGTGCTGGGGCTGATAGGCTTCAGACTGGAATGAGGGGTGCTTTTGGGAAACCTCAAGGAACATGTGCAAGAGTCGACATTGGTCAGGTTCTGCTTTCAGTTCGTTGCAAGGACAGCAACAGCCACCATGCACAGGAGGCCCTCCGCCGTGCAAAGTTCAAGTTTCCCGGTCGTCAAAAGATTATTGTTAGCAGGAAGTGGTATGCATTTTTGTTTCTCAGACATGGAATTGAAACTCTCAGGTGTATTCAAGATAGTAGATGCCATTTATCTCTTTTCTTTGAACTACAGTTTACAACCTTGTTAGAACATAATTTTGTATCAGAAAACAGATCTGATATTTGCTCTATGTTTTTTTCTTTTTAATATTTTGGATATATTTGCAACATCATCTCACTCATGTTATGGAAATCTGGTTTAAGATCATTTTGCTGTAATTGTGATTTTCAGGGGATTCACTAAGTACAACCGTGCTGATTATCTGAGGTGGAAGTCTGAGAACAGGATTGTGCCAGATGGTGTGAATGCAAAGGTATGGATATGTTGTAATGTTATCTCTCTGAAACATTGTTATTATCAATTATTTTTTCTGTGATCTGTTTGTTTAGTACATTATATAGCTACTCGTAGCTCTCCCTTTCCCTGATGAAGCTGAATATTTTCTCTTTTGGTTCTATTTGTGTTTACTAAACACTGAAATGCTATTTACATAGTAGATATGATTATTGGGTTTCTAAAGTGGAAGTTGTGATTTAACATGCAGCTTCTTGGATGTCACGGACCTTTGGCTAATCGTCAACCCGGACGAGCTTTTCTAAATGCATCAGCTTAGATATTTGGACTATCTAGAAAATTTTGAAGTGCTCTCCAAAAGCTTATGTGGAACACTTTGTTAAGTTTATGAAAGTTTGTTGTGTTGTGTTGGGTATCATTCCTCAGTTGACACGATGTTATTGAGGTTCAGAATACTTGGTGGTTGGTTATTCAGTATTCACATTATGGTACCAAGTTTGTTTATGGAATTGCGTTCATTATCGTTTGTTTGAGAAAGGCCAGTCTTTCATTTCGTTTTATTATTATCTACAATTATGTTACTGACTAATGCATTTTAAGCCATCTTCTACAACTTGCTTTGTGCAGTGAAGGTGATTTAATGTTTAATTGTCTTGAGTTCAGGTAAGTTTGGGTCGGAGTTAATTCGTTAAATTTGGATGAGTTTGTGTCAAATTGGATCGGATGTCGTCTCCCTTTTCATCTTTTAATCAGTGGAATTTTTTATATATTAGGTTGTGGGTTTTGTGTCGCCAATTTCTTGTTCTTAAAGATTGAATTCCATCTTTGATGTGAGTTTTCATTTTGATTGTCAAAAGTAAAATTCTCAAGTTGAAAATCTTTAACTCAATGTGTTAAGAGGTTCTTCAAAGCCTCTAATTCAATATCAAAACCCTTTCCCAGCACCTGGTAATCTACTCTGTGAAGGTACCTCGAGGCTATTGGTTTACATTTTTTACGCGAGAAAAGAAAAAAAATATATGAATAAACAGGCATAGTGCATGTCAAAGATGTATAATTGTACAAGTATGAGCCAAATCAAGCAACATTAACACTTGTGTATTAATAAATATGAGCCAAATCAAGCAACGTTAACACTTGTGTATTAATTTTATGTTCAAACACTCGAAAAATATGTTTTTGGAAGATTATATCTGAACACTTAAAATTTACATATCTAAATATATTTAGTCAATTCTTTTAAAAATGTATTAATTTTTTAGATAAAATTTTATATTATTTTTAACTAATTTATTTCTTTTCTTTTATTTAAACCCAATAAGCATTTGTGCTCATATCTTTATTTTACATAATAAAAAATTAATTAAAAAATATCAGATTAAAGGGTATTTTTAATGGATAATATTTAACTAAAAAACCTATAAAACAAAACCCATAATGATAACAAGAACAACTAATAGCTTTTTCTGTGTTCTTTTAGAAGCATTTAGGTCTGGGGAGAGGCAGACCTAGTTGCCTTTAAAAGAGGTTATTTATTTTACGTGGCAGCCAATAGGAAGCGTCCCACAGCTCAGGTAACTGTATCTTTCAATTCCACCAAAAACACCGACACCTCCCTCTCTTTAATTTCAATTTTCATCGGCGCCAACTTTAACTCCTCTCCTTTATCCATTTCATTCAGACAAAAAAATAAAAAATGCACAAAATGATGATGATGATGAGCAGCTATGCTAATGCTTTGGTTTTTGAACTCAGGGTATTCCCTTTGCCTGTAATAACGACAACGATGCCTTAAACATCTCGAAACTCCGGTCCAAACACCCACTCTCAGAGGTTTTTGTTTGCAGAAGAGAATGGTAGACATCTGAGAGCAAATATGTCGGGTGGAACAATTCCCAAACTTCGATTAGCTGTCCTAAATGCCGGTTGGTTCCGGGAAGTCCCTGATTTCCCTCTTTATAAATGTGGAGGCTGTGACACGGTTCTTGTAGTTAACCCATCTTGCAGCTTTTCGTAATTCATACTTAGTAATTACAATATAGTATTTGGCTAAATTTTTTATTTAATTGACAACGCACACATCATATAGACATGCCTGCTCGAATCGGAAATCTCTAAGAAGAACAATTTTATCTTTTATTACGGAAAATGAAACTGAAAATGGTCTCTTGATTAGTTTCTTGATGTACATGGAGGTTGAAATGAATATCCTATCAATTTGCTTAGCAATTTTCAGCTGTTACTAACCAAGTAGTCTCACTATTGGTATGTATGATTCTTGTTTTCATAGACATTATTTAACCGTAGATGTGGTCCTGTGGATATTCTTCTTGTTACTTTGCAGCTAAAAACTGAAAATCGGTTGCAGATACCGCATCTAGCTTGCAACACACACAAGCTGCTGCTGCTGCAGATAATGATCATCACGAGAAGCATCGAATCCGACATACATTCGGCGATACTGATCATTAAAAAGCTTGATGAAAATGGAACAAATAAAGGGAAGAAAAATGGAAATGGACAGTTCCAGATGGAAAAATTAGGCATTTGCAATGAGAATGTAGCGGGAGCAGAGGCAAATGAGGATACCTCAGTTACAAGGAAATGACAAGATTGATGGAGCCTCAAGTATTCACAACTCACAAGCTGCAAGAGGAACTAATTCAACCGTTTCGGATAATCTTTTGAAGCGACATTCGAAAACTGAACTTCATGTGTTTGACCGCTTAAGGTCTGTTGATACTTTTGAAGCTGCAGATTTTAGCAGCCCCAATTCTGGAGTCAGTGCTTCTGATGATGGAGTGGATGACAAGAAATTACACTCATTTAAAAATAGTTGCAATAAGGTTTCTAACTATCTTGCTCCTGAAGAAATGCGCCGCCGAAGGGATAAGTTACCAGCCAAAGGTAAGATGAATAGGAATTCTAGTATGCAAGATCCTGTTACAAATCCATCATCAGATTTTTCCAATTACAAACATTATGCCACACAAAAATAAATCATGGGGCATCGAGATGAACTGCTAGAACCTGTAATGCATCATCACCGTCCACCTAGAAGCTCATCAAGACTTCACACAGATGAATGTCCATTCAAATTCCTTTGTCTCAAAAGGCTTCCCCGCGTGGCTACGAAAGTGCTGGTCCTTCACGTGAACTGCAAGACGAGTTCCCTTTCGATTCAACCTTCTATCCACATGAGAAGATTGATTGCACTGAGCAAGAAAATATGAAGATGTTAAGAATGCTGTATGAACTGCAGGACAAAATTACAAGAACATGCCATCTCAATGGAAGGCCTTTCACAGATGTACCATGGAGGCAAAACCATTTTGCTTCGTATTGCTGTCAAGAGATTTTTTTTTATCTTAGACATCATGGTAGACGTGGACCGAAGAGCAGCTGGAGCCAGGAAAGTAGACTCCTGCATATACCTTCCTCAGGTGGTGCAATGAACACCAGATATAGCATTGACAACTCTTGTTTATGCTGCCACCCTCAAGATTGGAAGCATGGTTCGGAACACTTGCATCCACCCATCTTTAAGCATAAGCGAGAACTTTGTAGAGCTGGTCATATCGGTTACTATCCCAATAGCTCTTTCCCCTCTAGTCCCCTAAGCTATTTATAGTCCGATTTTTCTAATCAGACATACCAAGATCATGAGCTGAATCGGTGTTTGAGGGAGAAACATCATTCAGTTAGGCGACATCTCCGTCCGAAAGCAGGTGGAGAACCTTTCATAACATGTTATTATTGCTTCACACCGTTGCAGTTACCTGCAGATTTTTTACTTTTCAAAAGAAGGTTGCATCAGCTAAGATGCGGTGCTTGTGCAAGGGTTTTTAAGTTTTCACTTCTAAAAGGAATGCATATAGTGCCATATGAACTAGTTGCCACTGAACTTCCACCGCGTGAGGTTGATGGCTGCAGCGATGCAATTAATGCAAGGATTTCAACATTAGCAACATGTAGCATTGGTGTTCTGCAAGCAGATCCTATGTCTTATTCTGACGATTATGGACAGTACACTGAAGGAGATCCCGTTTCTCGTGGTAGTACCGATACCAAAACTGAACCTTTGTCAGAAGTTGAAGAGTTGCCACCAAGAAGTGGAGGTACATCGCTTCACCACCTCATGGGATATTCTTCACCAAACCAATTGATGGATGGATTTGTATCATCCATATCTGGCTCAACTTCGGTCTATTCCAGAAAAACATCGGATCAAATGTCCGAGACAGTATAATGTTTGTTGCATCTGATAGAAGCTATGTTCTTTCTTTTCTGGCAAGTTGCTGTGACAGTAGAAAAGGCTCACGATTTAGAAAGGCTTTAGTGTACGAGACACACCCTGCTTCGCATGGGACATTTGACTTAATTTTTTTTAGAGATTGCCCCTCAAATATTGAACTGTTTAATTCTATACTAAAATGAAATTAAGGGTTCATCTCAGAAGAAATAGAATTGCAAGCAGAATGGAGACATCCTTGGCATTATTGAGCAAGTAATAGAGAGATGGTTACAACTTTACAAACATAAAATAAAATAATTAAATTTAAATGGTTGAAATTTCATAAGGGTCTGGACCAATATGATAGCTTTATGACTTTGGCATCCAATCATCACATTCCCAACCCATATTTGGCGTTGAATGACAATACTGTTTGAAGGGCTCGTGCTGCTGACCTTTGAGTGGAGTAGTGATTTCGATTAGATTGTCTTGTTTCAGCTGGGGGAGTTATTTATACCCTTTTTGGTGAAGGTCTCTGAGCAGTGCAATTTGTTGGTGAATCTCTGTGGATAATATTATGATGGTTTTAATGTTTTAGTGGTGGATAGATGTGCTTCAGAATTGTGTTGAGTGTTTTTACAGTTTTGTTCATGCCTTTAGGAATTACGGTGGAGGCTATATTTGGTCACAGCTTGTGTTTGGTTCTGTCGTCTGTTATGGTTGAAGAAGAAGATTTCAGAAGTAAGAAAAGGTAAGAGAAGATTGAAGTTTTATTTCTTGTAAATTGTCATGATACAATCGGTATTACAAAACTCTTATAAGCAACTAAATTTAACTACCCGTTTGCAGATAAAATGTACAGCAGACCAAGTTAACTGGGCTTGTTCACCCAACGACCCACTTAACCAAGCTACAGACTCAATTAACCACACTACCCTACCCAATATCGTTTAAGCCTATCAGCTTTTTAATAACATTCTCAAATCAGTTCACCCCCAATTCCTTCGATCCCTAATGCAATTACTTCACGATCGAACCTTACTTCTCATCCCCAAATCTTCTCTTCAATCCCTATTCCAATTGTGCTTCGCGATCAGACCCCGACTTCACCTCCATAGTCGTGACAATACCCCTGCTCCACTCGAGCCTTGTCTCCAAGGTTCGAAATCAAGGAATTGGGATCGTAAAACGGAAAAATTCTCTCAAGTTGCATTTTCAACCCCAATGTTAGACCACTGAATCAAGAGTTGAATCATAGCCCAATTGTTACGTTTAATAATTCGTTTTTCCAATACAATAGTCGGATATACCCGTAGCTGATCGTCGTCTCAAAGCTCCGGTGGATGTATCGAGGTAATAATATTCGAACCTACCTTTTGTTTTAATAAACTGATGTGAAAAACCGGATGAATCTGAGAGTTCTGAGGCAAATCGACTTTATATGCCACTCGCCTGCGAAGCACGTGGGGTTTGTATGACCCAAGGAAATTTCCAGAAATTGTTAACCCAACCCGTCTGCCTCCTCCCGACCCGTTGACCTGACCGAACCGTTAACTTGGTCAGAGTTGACAGATCGTTGACTTTGACCGATATAACCGTTAACTTTGGCCGAAAAAATCAAAATTTCTGAAAAATTCTATTTTGTGTTTTTCAACGTCCTTAGCCCGATTTTAAATCCGTTTTGTCAAATTCTAACTCCAAAACCTCCAAATTTACCATCAAACCCAAATATGCTTACGTAATTAAATGTTTTAATTTGGAAAAATTAAAGTAAAACTTGGGATTGATAAATTGTTGTTGTTTGAAGGTACTAAAGACTTGTCTGACCGCTCGCCAGCTTGACCTGGCTCTTCTCGATCCGTTAGGCCATGAGAGTCGATTGTCACTCGTATGAACCATGAACTTTTCGAATACTCAATTTAAAAATATTACTTTGATATTAACTCTGATTTCTACGAATTAGATTCGAGTACTGTAGCAGAGTATGCCGAGGTTGGTGCTTAGTAGTTTTACTGTGTGCCCTATTTTACGAGGTATGTTTCCTATGTGCTACTCAATGGTTTATCTGATTTGATATATATATTTCACTGAAATTTATGATTTAATGGATGATGGTTTATGAACTATGATAGAATGATGCATGATATTTGTGATTGTTTTCACTGGACGGTATTATTTTACCGATTACGGATCATGGAATTCTTTACTTATTATGTGAACTATTTTATAGGGATATTATCTGGGTAGGTTGGAGTATGGAGGTACAATCTTGATCAAGCTAGTAAATCCTTACGGACCTAAAGCGACTCTTGGGTAGGCTTTCAGGCCTCAAGATGTTCCCTTAGGTTGGTTTCTTATACCAATGGGTATAAGGTTGCCCTATGTACACAGTTCTGGGGAACTGTATTTGGTGTAAGGGAGAAGGGTACTATGTGATTTAATATCTTATGCTTTATCAGGATTTCCATGATTCTTTAATGGACTATTACTTGATGGTTATTCATATTATGTTTTTATTGCACTAATAGGACACACTAAGCCTCTAGCTTACTTTTCAAACTGTTTACCCTTTCAGATACTTGTGGATAAACACCAATTTAGACACTCGGAGGATCGACACATTATAGAAGAACTTTTTGTTGTAATATTTCTATCTTCAGAATTGTTTTTAATTATGTGACATGGGCCTATATTTTGACATACTCGTTTTATGACGATGATGATGTTTATGGATTTTGCTATTGTACTTCAGGTTTATGACTTGTTTTGTTTTATGTAACTATTTTTTTTTCAGTTTTATATTTACGAGTTAAATTTTTATCGTTATTTATTTTACTTTTATAAACGTAAATTTTAATATGGTTTTAAATTATCAAATAACGTTTTAGAAAATTGTTTTAAGAAATTTTAAGGTAATTCACTAGACTTATTCGAAACGTATAGGTTAGGTCTAGGGGATTACACCTGACTTAAGAACATGTTTATTCTTAACCCTTTGACAAGTCTGACACTGCTTAACATGATCTTGGACTGTCACTTTCATTTTAGGCCAATAGAAATAAGTGTACATGTTGGTAAGTGACATTAATTCCAGAATGACCTCCTCAAGGAAAGTCTTGAAAGCTTTGAAGCAATTGTTCCCTTCATTGACCTCCACTACCTATATAGACTTTTCCTTAAATCTTAATATTCCTTTCTGATAAGTCCAAGCCTATCAAGCTTAAGAATTTATTGTAATAACTGGAATAAGCTTCAAGGCCCATTCATCATTCAAATAGTTGGCCTTGACATCCTGAACCCACTATGGCACAATGACAATAGTTGAAAGTTGAAACAACTCAGATTGATCCCATGAGTTCTAAAGAGAGCATCAACCATCTTACTATATTTGTCCTCCTTATAATTTATCACATAATCCAGCCCAAACAATTTAGTTATGTCTTTTTCCCGATTCACAGTAGTTAACTTTTGCTCTAAGAGATGTTTGAGTGATTCATGATCTGTTTTCATAATAGATGATCTTCCATCTAGATAGTGTCTCCATTTAGTAATTGCTATCAGTATTGTCAAATACCCCTTTTCATAGATGGATAGATCCTCATTTCTAGGTCCCAAAGCCTTGTTGAGATATGCAATGGGCCTGCTACCTTGGGACAGAACAACTCCAATACCTTTATAGCTGACATCTATTTCTAACACAAATTCCTTTGTCAAATCAAGAAAAGCTAGAATAGGGGCTTTGCACATGGCCTCCTTAGGTAGTAAAAAAAAAGCTTCCTTGACCTCCTTGTCCATGTAAACTTATCCTTCTTTAACATATTAGTAAGGGGCTTACTAATTGTCCTATAACATTTAATAAACTTTCAGTAATAACCTGTTAGGCCCAAAAAATCCCTCAAGGTTTTAAGATTAGTAGGTGTTAAATTATATTTTGATATAACAATTAAGACAAAATGTTTTTGGACTTGAATTAAATTTATTCAGAGTTTTCAAAATTTTCAAAAATAATTCAAAGTCATTTTTAACTTAGAATTGAGCACAAAATAATTTTTTGGACAAGCAGTACCGATACTGTTGAGTAAATCAATTGGATAAAATAGCCAATAGAGGGTGAATTGACAAATAAAAATATCGGTAGAATCTTGACATAAAATAGAAATAATTTGTACAGCGATTTATAGTTGTTCGACTTTCTCAACCAAAGTCTACGTCCACTACCTTAGCTATCCACACTAAGGATTTCCACAAATTCACTAATTTGTCTTTCTTTTGAGGACAAAGAGTAACCTTACAACTCCCTCAAGAATTATACCCCAAATTCTTGAGATACTCTCTCTTAAAGAGAAAATTACAAATTTCGCAAACTTAGAAGAAAACCTCACAATGAAAGATTGTTTGCACAATTCAGAACAATAAAGAACACTCAAGAAATAAATACAAATGAGCACAAATTGTGTTCTTTGGAAAGCAAAATGAATATTGAAAAAATGTTGGATTGATTTGCTCAAACTTGATGTTTAAGGCTTTCTCTTGTTTCTCTTCTAAATTCTTGATCACCAATGACTTCAAGACTTGTTTAAATACCCCTTGAATGAATTATGAACGTTGGGGATGATCATGGAGTCAATAGAGCCGTTGTTGTATGTTTTCCACTTTAAAAAGCTGCTGGGAGCGTATGGGTATCGATACTCTACTAATGGGGTATCGATACTACCTGTTATAAATTCAAACTTTTCTATCGTTACAACCCAATGGTATCGATACCCTTCAATGAGTATCGATACTACTATGTATAACAGTATCGATATCGTCTAAGGAGTATCGATACTAATATGTATACCAGTATCGATACCGAACATGGTATCGATACCATTTTGGCATTCTGTTAAAATTCGGAGTCAAAACCAAATGAGTAGTATCGGTACCATGTTTATGGTATCGGTACTACTATAAGGCATGGTATCGATACTACTGTAGAAGTATCGACACTACCTATTTGAAAACCTATTTTTGACTCGATTCAAGTTCGAAATACTCTGTAAAAAATACTTTAAAAATATTTGTAGTGTTAATCTTTAATTTTTCTTTTAGTAAGGAGTAAGAATTAATATTTGAAAACTTGGAGTAATATTTGTGATATTCAAATAATTGAATCGAAATAATATTCAAATATAAAATCTTAAAATTAATTTACACATTTATTTGTTATATCGAAATATCAAAATATTTTCAACAATCTCCCCCTTTTTGATATAACAAAACATTTTAGAAATTTTAAGATTTTCTTTTGAAAAATCACTTTGAAAAATTACTCCCCTTACTTTAAGATTTCTCCCCCTTTTTGTTAAATCAAAAAGACTCTTTATATTATAAACAAGATAGCCAAAAGATGTATATATATATATATATATATAGCTCCTAAGAGTATGAATGCCAAGAGAAATATTAGTTAACATTTTCAATATTCATCATATGTAATTGGGATTGGTCATTAGATTTATTATGGTGTAACATGATGAAAAAATGCAAAAACAAATGAAATCAACTTAAACACTCAATCAAATTTAAAATACCAATCATCCATAATCATTAAATCATTCAAAACACAAATATCCAAATCATTCAAACAACCAAATCCATAAAATCAAAAATGTTTAAACAATGTTTACGTTCAAAACATAGATCAACCTAAGAAAAACTAGCAAGATAGATTAGTCATCTGTAGGAGAGTCGGGATCGGATCGATGTACTCTTAAAGAAGCAACATCTTGTGTGAGTGCATTGAGCCTAGCATCTATTGCGTCGTATCGCGCTCGAGATTCCCTTTGATGCTCTGAAAATTGAACGGTGATATGGGACTCCAAGGATGCGAACCGTAAGTCCAATGTCTCTATAAAGGATTGAAAATATGGAGGCATTATACTATCTTGCCTAATTGGGTCATCGCCGGGTTAATTTACAGGATCGTCAACATCCCGTAAAAGATCTTAGAGTTCTGGAGCCGGAGCTGCTCGTGATGAAGTAGCACCGGGAGTTTCCTTTGTTGATCGAACCCATTCTATTTTATCTCCTTTCAATCCCGACTTGTGTAAAGTGGTGAAGTCGATTTGGGTACTAAGTGGAATGGTTACATCAAGGTCACCCTAAGACCGACTTTTATGAACATGTTGCTTAATAGACAGTCGTAAACTATGGATTCTACACGTTTAGGGGGTACGTTGTTTACGGTATCTACTAATTCTCCGAAGATAATCTGAGGGAAATTTATTTTCTTATTTTGGATGCAATGGATCCACTATAATTCAATACTACAAAAGGTGGAATATTTACCACCCGAGGGTCTAAACCACCAAGAGATCATAAGGTGAAGAAAGCGCTCTTGGTAATCTAAGACGCTAGCACTCTTATTCACTTCATATGGGGAGGGCACGAAATCTCTCTCATTATCGATCCCTCTATTCTCTAGTCCAAAGGCCCTAGCTATAGAGTCTGAATCTATGGTGATGTATTGCCCCATGAGATAGGAGCGAATACTTTCGGTTGCGGTTTGAGACTAGTTTTGAAGACATACGGCATTTGAATAGAAAATTCTAACAAGTTGGTTGTAGATAACTAGTTTTACTTTAAAAGTGTTGTCAAACTTCCAAGCTTTGAGGGTTGGGAGATATCTAAGTTCATTTCTTCCATATCCTTTAAAGACGAGAGACGCTCATCCCTAATTTTGTAATACTCAAAATTATTAACGTGCCTAGAGTATAGACATATACGGTTAGGTTCGTTGAAACAAGAATTAAGGATGGTCATTTCGGGTTCATTAGGATTGAGATTCGGATTTGGATTAGGAGGTGGATTCGAAGGCAGGTTTTGAGTAACACGATTAGACGAAGACCTAGCTCATTTATGAGATATGGTTTAGGGATATCAAAATTAAAAAGAGTACCTACAATTAAAATAACATATATATGCAACACAATTAATTCCCATAACTCAATATGAGTTCTCAATTTCAAGGTTTTCTAAAACTAATGTTTAATGGGTAAAATTTAATTTTTTTTGAAAAACTATAGAATATATAGTTTTTATGAAAAACAAAAGTATATATATATATATATATTAAAATGAAATTTAAATATATTTTTTAAAATTTTCAAAAAATTATGAATTTTTGAAAAATTGATAGTAGATTCTAATGTAAAACTATGCCTTACAAAATGCCCATTCACTAATTTGATCTAAAACTATCTAAAATTAGTTCTAGATTCAAAAAATAATAAAACAGTGTTTTAAGAAATATTACCTTGGAATTTAAGATTGAGAATGAATGTGTTGTTGATTGCAATGATTTAATGATACTGACAGGATTAGAGGTTAAAGAATGATAGAATTTCAACTTGAAATAGTTTGATTTGATCAAAGTAGAGATTTGGAGTTGAGAGAGGAGGAACGATCGAGTGTTTTATATTTTAGGGATTTTGGTTAAATGATGTTATTTTAGGGTTTTATAGCCTAAAGCCGACTAGTAGTATCGGTACTCCTCGAGGAGTATTGGTACTTCAAGGCTTTTATGAGTAGGTATTGATACCCATTCATGTAGTATCGACCTAGCAAGAGTAATATCGATACTATGTGAGTAATATCTATACCAAGTGCAAAAAAGGTCAAAAATCTACAATTAAACGCTTTGCATGCAAATTTTATCAACTATAGTGGTATAGACAACTCTTATTACGAAAATTAATTATTTTCAATCAATCAAATTACACTTAAGCCTAATTTGAACACATTGTTAATATTCATAA